CATAGAATCAATCAATCAAGAAATTTATTTACACAATAATTTAACAATACATAAGTTACAAAAGTGCAAAAACCACACAGAATGCTTACAGACTTTGAAAATTGAAAATGTAAATTAGCAAAATCCATAGGAAACTTGTTTTTTTAAGATACTTTGTTTTAGCAAAGCAAAATAAGCAACCTTAGCAGCTGTAAATGCAAAGGTAGGCATTAGGCAAAAGTAACAAAACTTGTTTAGTTTAGCAACGTTTGATGTTTTGTACGTGAGTGATTTTGTAGTTTTGGTGTATATACAGGTGTCCCATAAGTAAACAGCCAAACTCCGGGAAATGGTTCTATGGGTCAAAATAAAGAGAAAATCAAGAATAACATTTTTTCCAAAATCGCTTTGTTAACCAGGTCCCATTTTACAACTAAATATCGTAATATTTCAGTTATTTCTTATTTTATCTTTTTGCACTTTGTATTGTTTGATAGGGAATTAAAAATGCTAATTAAAAGTGTTCTTGACATTTTTTCATAACATTAGCCGTTTTTGAGCAATTTAAGTTAAAACAATTAAAACGGCCGCCATTTTGAAGTTTTAAGTTTAATCAAGATGAATTTGTTTTCTAACATTGGCCTTTGCTACCTTAACCTACATACCAAGTTTTATAAAGATCGGTTGAAAAAATTCAAAAATAAAAATGTTTATGTAAAATACAAAATGGCGGATATCTGGTTAACGAAGTGATTTTGGGAAAAATGTTATTCTTGATTTTCTCTTTATTTTGACCCATAGAACCATTTCCCGGAGTTTGGCTGTTTACTTACGGAACACCCTGTATATGAAATCGTTTTGTTAAGCAAGATATTTTCCTGAATTTATGTGCAAATTAAATTTGTTCTAGTAAAGCAAACAAATAAACCTTTGCATACATGTAAATTCAAAGGTTGGCATTATAGGAAGAAATTAACAAAACATGCTTTGTTTAGCATCGTATGATGTTGTTTTGAAAGCGTGTCCTTATGTAGTTGTGTTGTTTCTTTATGATATTGTTTTATTAAGAAATGTATTTTCATGAATTGAGTGTACAAATTAAATTATAAATATATAGGCCTACTCTTTAATCGTTTAATCGTCTTTAATTGTTCCTATTTCCCCTATTCTTATAATTTAGTCAGCAAAACTGTTCCAAAAACTGTTTTACATTATTGGAGTTTTTATCAAAATATATTTATTATTTTTCAACAATCAAAATCAATTCAACTTACACAATTAACGGTTAATACTGTAAAATATAGATAACGAATGTTAAACGATGCAATCACATGTGCTGTAGGTGTTATTCAAGTGTAAAATAACATTGCATTAAATGACGGCGCTGCAGGTATGCCCGTAAAGTGGTGGGGGGAGCTGTCTGTAGCCGGACCGCACAGCTGCTACTCAGCGCGCGATCCATTGTGTTTATATATCGATGGCTTACACTTAACAAAACTTCTAAAATAATTAAAGGAATATTTACATGTACAAGAGTTAATTAAATAAGAACACCTTCCCAAAGGAAACCCAACTACAACGCGCTCCTGTATTGCATTGACTTTCTGCAGACGTTTTTAACCCTCCCGGTGTCAACCATCGATGCATCGATGGTAAGGACACGCTCTGGGGTGTCAAGCATCGATGTATCGATGGTAGTGCAAACTGTTACAGTTCGTGTAATAACTCACTCAATTTCGCTCCAAATCGGACTGAATTCACATGACTTTTAATCAGCGCTAAACAGGCTTTATTATGATGTCTGTCTCTAAGCTCCTTTCTCTTTTGCCTGTCTCCAGATGTTATGAAAAAAATATAAATGTTTACGTTTCGTTGCCGTTGACGGACGACGGTGTCACTAGTTGTTGTTGTTTACAAGTGGTTTGATATCGTTTACTAGTGGTTTGTTATTTTGATTTTATTATGTTTTATCTATGATTTTATGTTGTGAAAATGGATAGTAGCGATATTAGAGTTGCTTTAGATGAAGATTTTAGTGATGCAGACTCTGTTGTTAGCGACATTGAAGTGCCTGAAGATGTTTCATTACTTGATTTTTCGTCTGGAAGTGATGAAATCTATTTGCCTCATTTGAGTGAATTGGAGACATCTGATCGGGAAGAAGTAAATGTGGATGATCCTGATCCTGTTCCAATAGGTTATCAGAATGAAGAGAATTACGTTGAAAATGAAGTTAGGCCTAATGCCAATATTCCTGTGAATGACCAAAATGTTGTTTTGCAAAGACAGCCATGGGTTAGGGTGTACCCACCTGAGCCTCCCAAAAATATTGCTACTGAGCTTGCTGTTAGGGACCCAGGGCCTAGGAACCTTCCTCCAAGAAATAGTCGTCCAATTAGCTACATAAACCTTTTTTTGACTCAGGCTTTCTGGCTTCTCATTACTAGGGAAACAAATGCCTATGCTAATCGTAGAATAGATGAGAAGAGAGACACTCTGACACCAAATTCGCGGTGGAAAAAATGGGTACCTGTGACTGTACAAGAAATGAAGAAATTCTTTGCTATTTTGCTGAACATGGGTGTGATAGTGAAGAAGAACCTGAAAACCTACTGGGATACTAGGGGCTCTCAACACATCCCATTCTTTCAAAACACAATGTCCCTCAATCGGTTTTTATTGATAACCACGTTTTTTCACATTACATCCAATCGATCACTGGAAAGGGGTGCAGTAGGCTACGATCCATGGGTGAAGGTAAGGTATATGTATGACCATATAAATACTATTTTCAAAACCTACTTCATCCCATCTCAAAATGTTTGCATCGACGAATCCCTTATCGGAATGAAGAACCGCTGTGCTTTTATACAGTATCTTCCAAATGAAAAGCACAAACAATATGGAATTAAAAAATTTCAGACATGTGACAGCAATACAAATTATGTTTTGCATGTTGAATTGTACAGCGGGACTGATTATTTACCAGCCAATGATCCTGAAGAGTTGTTCACTGAGAGAGTTGTAATGAATTTGATGTCGAAAAGTAGATTGTTAGATAAAGGGTACCACTTGTACACGGACAATTTTTATACAAAAATCCCCTTAGCTGAGCGACTCTTAGAACGTCAAACATATTTAACTGGAACAATTAATAAAAGGTCCAAACACCTGTCTACAACCGCCAAAAATACAGTACTAGGTGCCCGGGAAAGTATTTATTTCAGACAAGGTGATCTGTTACTTGTACAGTACAGGCAAAAAGCAAACTGGAAGCCCGTTTTTGTAATCACAACTGCCCACAATGCTGAGGATGGAATTGTTCGAAGCAAAAAGGGACTTGTTGGCCAAAAGCCTCTTTTGATACACGATTACAATCAATCAATGGGTGGAATCGACGTCAACGATAAGTCGGTCTACCATATGACGTGTAACCGTTCTACCACAAAGTATTGGAAGAAGATTTTTTTCAACTTTATAGACATTTGTATGGTAAATGCATATACTCTCTACAAATCAAACACGGACAATCCACTGGAAAGAAGAGATTTCCACATAGAAATCATTGAAGCTCTTGTAGCAGCAGGCGTCCCTCAGGAACCACTACCTGTCCCTGGACCTGCCGGAGATGTTGGAGATCGACACCGCCTTGACAAGCTGCCGAGGAAATGTGAAAGGAAGTGTATGGTATGCAGCAATGGAAGAACAAGATTCTGGTGCCCTGGATGCAACATAGGAGTGCACCGTGAATGCTACCATAACCTACAGCACTTCTGGAGGCCAACTCGTGGTGCTAAGCGGAGACTGCATAGAGAAAGTTCCGACTCCGAATAACATTTGTGATCATAATTTCTTTCTGTCTTCTAGGGGACTAATGTTTTTACTGTGCCTAAAAATTGTTTTCTTTGTTAGCCTACATTGTTCCAAAGATTATTTAGGTAGTTAATTTTTGTTTTACAAAAAGTGAGTGTTTTTTTATAACTTTGTTTCATTGTTTTGGTTGAGTGAACACTTGAAGTAAAAACATTTCCGCCTCCCCTTCAGTTTCATGGTCGATAGTAATAGAAATATTTTTCAGATAAGTATATTTTATTTTTATGCATGCATTGATGTAAAACAATAAATAATGAGTATTTTGTGGTATGCATGTGTTTTGCATGTGTGTTTTGAAGCATGTGTGCAAATTCATAGAATCTTGTAATATTGAGTGATTTCGCAACTGTTCTTGTATTATATTTTGTCATATAACTAACCTAAAATATAAGCTAAGCCTACTAAAATGCATGTTATCTTTTTTGTTATAATATTTAGAAATAAGTGGCTATCTCAGATTTTTCATATGGTTGAATTTATTTCTAAAACAAGAGGCACGAACATTTGAATTTTTTTTTATATTTAAATTTTTTTTTTCTCAAAGCATTTTTTACTCATCAAATATGCATGAAACCCAAACATCTATGCTGCATTATGATCTCAGTGTATTTAGCTTCGCAAAAATATATGACATGGTATAGTTCATCTGAAAAATAAATTTTATATAATTTTTTAAACATAATGCTGCGTAACGCCCAAAAATCGCCTGACACTACAGAAAAAATGACAGACACCAGGAGGGTTAATATATTTTTTTTTAAATTCTTGTCTTGAAAAAATCTTGTTCAAAAAGAAATCTTGTCTCGCATAACGAGATCTGAAATTTCCCAAAATTTTGACACTTGACTATCCAAGAGACTTGACTACTACAACGCGCTCCTGTATTGCATTAGACTTTCTGCAGACGTTTTTAATATATATTTTTTTTAATTCTTGTCTCGTATAACGAGATCTGAAATTTCCCAAAATTTTTAGACTTGACTATCCCTACTTATAACCATAATTAGACTTAATATGATAAAAAATGTCTGTAAAAATAGCAATTTGCCTGGGCCACTATGGAAACTACCTGTGGCCCATTGGAGGGTTAAAAGAGCTATTATAAAACAAATATTGCTGTGTTTAGGACGGTACTTTTGACGTTGTAGGTTTGCTGGACTGGTACAGTGGAGACGTGAACAGTGCCTTGCATCACTTCAACAACGCGAGAGGTGATGGAGAGTGGGGACAGCAAGCTGTTCATAACATGGTGGAGATATGTCTGGCAGGGGAGGAGCCAGGCACAGGAACAGCAACACGACTACTGGCTCAGATGAGACCTCACTCTGGGGACGAGGAGAACAGTGTGAGACTGCTGCACAACCTAATACTACTGGCCTCCAGGGACAAACAGGACGTGGACCTGGCGATGACTGACCTCACCCAGCTGGCTCAGCAGGAGACACTCAGGTCCATATACGCACATAACTTAGAATATATCACCGTCATTAACAGAAGTTTCAATAGAGGAAGGTTTGACTTAGGAAGGGAGTTGTCTTTAGGACCCAACTCAAATCTTATTTTGTATTTTCTAATTGTTCTGTGTAGTGTACTGTTTTCTGTGTTTCTTGAAAATGAGTGCACTCTTTCCTATTCAGATAAACTTACTATGCTAATAAAAATCCTTAAAAATTGTTAAAGTCAAAACAGTAAAGATGTGGTGTGCAAGCAGCTAGATTTATAACCCGAGTCAGGCCTAGTATAAAAGCTCAGGTCATCAAGTACCAAGTCAGAAAATTAAGCTGAGCCAAGTGTTTTTGATAAATTGATTTAATTAAGTTCAATGTACTGCTCTCGTTGCAAGGCAAATAAATTAGCACAGATACGATTTCAATAGCTGAGGTTTTCTTCCTTTGTCTGATTTTGTAGTAAATGGGCCAGCAAAATCAACTGCACATTTGATTAAAGCTCTATTCTGTTGTAATCTGACTGCTGGAAAGTCCGACATAAATGGTGTAGGCAAAGATTGTCTGAATTTGAAGCATTTGAGGCATTTCTTGACCAATTATTCGACGTGCAGATAAGTTCCAAAAGGAGCGTTGAATTACTGATTGAGTAACTTGAGGCCCTGAATGATCGGATGTATCTGATGATAATGCTGTATTGTTAAGACAGTGAGATGACAACACTTAGGGAGTAATAAGAATAAGAATATGCTTATATTGTCTTTCAGACTACATAAGCATTAACAAAGTCAAATTTACAGCAGAAATGCCAAGTCCCTATACTAATTAGGCCTAAGGGTAATATCACATATCATAGAAATATACAATTCATAGGAACTATACAAGAATCAAAAATTATACATAACAGATTTCAAACATTAAAATTCTATCTGTTTTAATAAGAAAAACTGACTAAGTGAATAGAAAGGATTTTTAGATAACCACTCATAAAATTTGTTCTTAAAAACTTTAACAGTATATTTCTTACTAAGATTAATTACTTTATTATATACCTTAAGGGATAGTACTACATGACTAGACAGTGATTTGCTGAGCCTATTGTACTCAATTGCTGCTTTATCCCTATTACGAGTGTTGTAACTGTGCATATCCCCAGTGAGTGTAACAAGATCCTGATTTTTTAGTATATAAGATACAAGTTCAAAAATGTAAAGGTTGATAATGGTTTGTATTTCCAACTGAATAAATAAAGGCCTGCAATGAGCACTTACATCTGACTTGGTCATAACTCTAATTGCCTTCTTCTGAAGGATAAAAATGTCATCAATTTTAGCACAGTTGCCAAACAAAATCAGACCATCTAAGAATAGATAATGCAGGATGCTTTCTCACATAAGGTAGAGATAGATGATTGCTGAATCCTGCCACCAACTCTCAAAATGCCTGTATCATCTAGGAATGGATCATGTTTTCTTAGTTTAGACTTAAAATGTTCACCCTTTCTCTGTTGATGTAATGACACATATATCTGACCATTCTGCCCTTGCTGCTAGGATTAGTACCACCTCAGCTTTAACCGATCTATGCTTCATCACTGCCGATCTCTCTTAGCTGAACCCCTCACAGTGTTGTTCAACGAATCACTTAACAAAGGGATCTTCCCTAGCTCTTAAAAGTTGGGCTTCATCATTCCTTTACATAAAGCAAATGATCCCAGCGACATACGGAACTATCGTCCAATCACTATTCTGCCGGCAATTGGCAAAGTTTTTTAAAGTATCGTGGTAGATAGACTGAATCCTTTTCTATCCAAAATAATCCATCCTTCCCAACATGGTTTTATGAAAGGCAAGTCTACTGTCTCCAACCTCCTGCTCTTTCAAGAATATGTCTTGTCTGCTTTTCGCAAGAACTACCAAGTTGATACAGCCTACATCGATATGGCAAAAGCCTTCGACAAGGTCGACCACACAATTCTTGTGTCTAAGTTGCTGGGCTACGGAGTGGCTGAACCTCTTTTGTCATGGATTTCTAGTTATCTTAAAAAACGTTCTCTTGTCGTGAGGATTGGTTTCACCACTTCCACTCAGTTCTCACCTTCTTCAGGAGTTCCACAAGGTTCTTTGCTGGGACGTTGCCTCTTCAATGTTTTTGTCAATGACCTACTGGACAAATTAACTGTAAAGGCCTTACAATTTGCTGACAACCGCTTCAGCATTTTCACTACTGTGTCTGTCTACACCAGAAGACTCTCAAGAAATTCAAAATAGCCTTTCTGAAATTGAGGATTGGTGTGTCAGGAATAACATGTCAGTAAATCCCAGTAAGTGCTCTTGTATAACCTATCACCGCATCAAATCCCCAGTCATGTACGTATACTCCATTCCTGGTACATCCATTCCACGGTCCCAGTGTATAAAAGACCTAGGCGTTATATTTGCCAGCGACATGGGATTTTCAGGACATATAGATCACATCAGTAACAAAGCAAACAAGATGCTTGGTTTCATAGCAAGATTCTCCAGAGGCATCGACAACCCTTCTGCTCTTCGCTCTCTGTATTGTTCCCTTGTGAGACAGCTCGTGGAATATACAAGTCCCGTGTGGTCGCCTTACACTGTTGGCAATAGGACGAGACTGGAGGCTCTACAAAGGCGTTTTCTTCGCTTGGTTGGTGTCCGGCTGGGTTTTGCCTTGCTTGATGTGCCTGTGGAGGAACTGTCAAGCAATCTGAACTTGTCACCTTTTGCCCTGTGACGTGACGTGGCTGATGTTGTTCTTCTCTGGAAGATAGTGAATGGTCACATGAACACTGTCCAGATCTCCTAGCTGAAATCGACCTCAGAGTTCCTACAAACACAAGATCTCGAGATCTGCTGGGTCGAAGATACCACTCAACCAACTTCAACTTCAACAGTCCTTTTGCAAGGTTTATTCGCCTGGGAAATCAAGTTGCGTCTGGGTGTGACCTGTTCGTCGATGGACTTCACCAGGTTCGTCGGCAGGCCTTCTCTCTTCTTCTTTCTGGGAAAGACTAGAAATTAATTATTGTTGTTTGTTAATCTTTATTTTCTGTTGTTGTTATGTTTGAGTAATTATTGTTGTTTGTTAATCTTATTTTTTGTTGTTGTTATGCTTTGGATATTTATAACTTGTTATATCTTTGAAAACTTATATTTATTATCAAATTTTGTATACCTATTTTGTTGTATTCTACCATCTATGATTGTCTTTGTAAATTGGCTGCTGCCGTTGGAAATAAATAAATAAATAAATAAATAAACCGATGTTGCTCCAGAGAAAATAACAATCCGCTGCTTTAGTGAAAAAAATACAGATAAGTTCTTAAGTTTTTTAAACAATGTAAATTGGGATGCCGAGTTACCATTTGCCGAATCAGGCTATTTTGACAAGTTTACGGACATTTTTGTTCATGGTATGAGGATATGCTTTCCTTATAAAACCATAAATAAGAAAAAAATCAAAATGTATCAGTGTAAATTGGTTTTGCCGTGAACTTCTTGAAATGAAGAAAGAAGTGGACAGCTTACACAGCAAGTTGCAGTGGGCACTACGCTAAAACACATATGTTGAGGAAATTAAGAATAGATATATTGTAGCCAAATCAAGGTATAAAAAAGCTCTTCATCTAGCCAAAATTGAGGCTAACGGCAAACTCATCGATGCAGCTCCAAATAAAGTGAAGAAGGCATGGGAACTCATAAATGCACAACGGCAGGTGTCTGGATGTCAAGATGACTGCTCACTGACGGCGGGGAACTTCAACTCTTATTTCACCTCTTCGGTGGCTGACATCACCAACCAAGTCGGCCGGTCTCTAGCTACTGCCATGGATCTACTGACCAACAATGCACCTCAGTTCCGTTTGAAGACAGTGTCAAGTGCCCAAGTGGAGGGGTATGTGAGTGAGATGAAGTCCAGCCAAAGTAAAGATATATATGGCATAAGTTCAAATTTGGTTAAAAAAGTGTTGCCAGCCATACTTATCCCTCTTACAGCTTGTGTAAATCAGTGCCTCCAGTCTGGGGTGTTTCCAGAGTCACTTAAAATATCTAAAGTGGTTCCAATGTACAAGAAGGGTGACAGGTCATCTGCCAGTAGCTATAGGCCCATATCGGTTGTACCTATAGTATCAGAAATATTTGAGAAGGTGGCTTCAGACGGGGCAGGTCAACCGCAGATGCAGTGGAGGGCCTAGTCAGATCAGTACTGCAAGGTTTTGAAAACCGTGCAAGCTCACTTGTCATTTTCTATGATCTGACTAAGGCCTTTGACTGTGTCGCGCATGACATCCTTGTCTCAAAATTAAAATTTTATGGCCTTAAGTGGGGTGGAGCTCAGTTTTTTTAAATCCTATCTGTCCAACCGATCTCAAAAAGTTAGTTTTAATAATGAGTTTTCTGAGACAGCAGTAGTTGAGAGCGGCGTGCCGCAAGGATCGGTGCTGGGTCCTACCTTGTTCTTAATTTTAATTAATGTTTGCCTAATAGTATAAGTTGTAATTCTGTGATCTTTGCCGATGACACCACTCTGTACAGTAGTAGGCCTAATAGCGAATTAGAACAGCTAAGTTTAACAATGTCTAACGCCTTGCTTGAAAGCACTGACTGGTTTAATTCAAACGGTTTGTCACTTAACAATAATAAAACTCAAAGTTTGCTTTTGTCTTTGTGTAAAGTTACCGCCAGCTTTGAACACTGTAACATGGGACATGCAAAACTTTTAGGCATTGTTCTAGACTCAACTTTAAACTGAAACCCACATAGGCCTATCCAATCTGTCTGTACTAGGTTAAATAGGGTAATTTGCTTGTCGAGGCATTTACGAAACTTGTTACTTAAACAATTTCTCAGGGGTGCCTACTTTGCTTTTTTCATAGTATTTTGATGTATGGTATTAGCCTGCGGGGCAACAGTAATCATGTGTCATGTCTTTACCTTACCTTTACCTTGGTCCTCTTCACCGTAGTCGTAGAGACTAGGGAATAGTCATCTTCTTTTTTCTTGTTGTGTCATTGTAGTGTTAGATGTGTATGTGCGTGTGTATGGTGTAAAGTGGGTTCATTTTGGCGCCTATCTTTGTGGTGAGTAGTGTGCTCATCAAAGAACTCATATAATTTTTTAGAATGGTTTTTGGACTAAATATTCTTTGAGTGCTCTAAAAAAAGGTTTTGGAGATTTGATTTGTTTGATATGTTCTGGGAGAGCATTGCAAATTTTTGACCCCATGATTTGGGGTATTTTGCTGGTTTTTGACAATCTGTGTTGTTGGATATCGAAGTTTGTTTTTGTGTGTCTTAAGTTATATTTGTGGCAGTTTTCCCTAAGCTTTGGGGGGGGGGGGTTTGGTTTTAGGAGGTTTACAACTTCAAGGATGTATAGGTTTGGAACGGTAAGGATTTAGTTTTTGACGAAGTATGGTTTACAATGCTCTTATGGTTGTAGGCTCTCAATCTTAATGCCATTTTTTGAAGAATTTGGATTATGTAGATGTAGCAATCCGCCGCTGTCCCCCAGGCTACTATTCTGAAGCGCAAGTGAGATTCGAAGAGTGCGTAGTAGGCTATTTTTGAAGTATTTTTATCAGTTATGGAGCATATTCTTCGTATGGCAAAAAGTGATGATGATAATTTTTTCCCAAGTTTTTCCAGGTGGTTATTCCAGGTCAGGTGTTGATCAATGGTTATGCCCAGGAAAGTTTTATGAGTTGCTGTTGTTATCAATGCTTCTTCGATTAATAGTTCAGGTTGTTTATTTGTGGTGGCGAAGTTAACATTTAAAGTTTTGGATTTATTAATTTTGAGGGCCAGGGTTTTACATATTTCTATTGCTTGCTCAATTGTTTCTTTTATATCTGATGATTCTTGGCCAATTTTTGTGGGAAAGAGGATGGTTGTGTCGTCGGCATGTGTCCTAAAAGGTCATTAGAGTCATGAACGGATCATCTCTCGATGCACACAGTAAACCTCTATTTGTTGCTGAGGAAATCTTGACTGTAGTAAATGTAATATATTTATGTTTGTCTCTGTAGAGTTAAGAACAATTTTAATGATTTTAAACTTGGAAGTGATGGCCACCATCACAACACAAGACACAAGTGGCAGATACCCAGTAAGCACAAGCACGTGAATTTCACGTGATAATCACAATATCTATTTACCAATTTCACGTGAATTTCTCGTACACGACTAGAAAAAATCACGTGAATAGCTTGCGAAGACGACACACTTTTTCACGTGAAAAACTTGTGAAAATAACGTAATTGTGTTCCTATTTTTTCACATCCTACACATTTTCACGGGAAAAACTCATGAATGACACGTTAAAAACTGGTGAATAACACGTGAAAGACTCGTGAATGTCACGTGAAAAACTTGTGAAAGAAACGAGAATTACTTGTAAATGACTAGTTAAAATGATGCACCACATAAAAGAAAAGAATTTATCCAGGCCTATAGTTTTTCCTGAAAATAAAATTTGTATGCTGTTATTTTAATTATTGATACTTTACAATTTTTTAGATTACTTGCACACATATTACCCTCTTTTGTGGTAAATAATTGTAAAAGGCCACTCTACGCCTTACACTATCCACGTACAAAATATTGATCATACTGCCATTAACTTATTAAAATGTTCACTGAAATCAATGGCAAGACTCATAAATTTTGTATAAGCCATAAGAAACATGGTTAATGGTGTGAACGTGTTTACTTCTTACTGAAATGATCGACGAACTCAGGGGTGCCCATCCCCTGTAATTGGTTCCTTTACTTCAAGGTGATGCTGGTATTTGTTACATAATCCTGGAGCGTCCGAAAATGTATCTTGATATTTGAGGAGTAAGTTGACAAGTTGACTTTTCTGTTCAGTGTCTAGTAGTTGGTTTTGTTCAATAGTATCAGCTATAGTGTCAGAATTAATTGTGAGTGTTCATCTTTCCCAAACCCCAAAATCACCCATAAACAAGGAAAAAAAAACAACCCCACCGGGGGGAGGATGTAGTGAATCGCTACAATAGCGCAAGTCACGTGACGACGATGCGCGCGCAGTCGGTCCGGCAAGCGCGCGCGGCGATCTACCAGAGTCGTAGTAGTGTCTCCGTCTCCGCCAACAGCAGTTCTTAGTCCGGATAAGTACTTAAATTACGAATATGTCTAGATAGCTTCGTAATTAAATTATGTAATTTATTAGGTTCTCGAATGGTCGTGGTCTGGCAATCAGTATCACCAATTTAGAATTCACATTTGCTAAATCTAGTTACCTTTTCACGAATTAGAATAAGTCTATATATATATATAAATTTCTCTGTTCACTATATTATAATTAGATACATTAAAGAACATAAAAGCTGGCTGTGATAGGCAGCTAAGGTAATATTGTGCACTTTGACGAGTTAGATTAATTCCTTGCAATAGAGTTGGGTTACGACAGGAAATGTGTGTGATTTGGTAGTGGTTAGAGGAACATATATAGGGCCCAGGTATCTTCATTTACACTCATACTACTGCACATCATCACAGGGTGGTGCCTCCTCCGCCGTGCTGGAGCCACTGGGGGTGACACAGCTCTCTATAATAAAAACCATTCTAAAAAAAGGACAAAGATGTTCTACTGATCTGCTATTCCACGATTTTCCTGTACTCAATATTAGACAATTATTTATTAAAACCCTTCTAATCTACATTAAAGACAACAAACACAAAATTTTCACACAGCCAACTCACACATATATAAAAAGAAACCGATTAAACTTTAGATACACAATACCCAGATTAGGTTACAGAATAGAGCTTTCTAATCCATTTTATATTGCACATCAATTATACCGAAATCTTCCAAATAATATCATTGAGGCAGAGAGTAGCAGTGCAGCCGTTTTCGGGTGAATAATTTGAGAGTGGCTGTTACATGTCGGCCCCACGGCTGCTGAAGATTTAATTCATTCTCCATACATTTGAATAAAATACCCCCGCCGCAGCAAACCTGCCGACTAAGCGAATTTCCATTTGTCTCAATTGATAATCAGTTAGATATATTTTAATAACATTAGGTTTAACGAGTACCTAGGTTTGCTACATATGTTTCGGCGGTTATTTACTGATCTCTGCCATCGTCAAGCTAACAAAAGGATCCACTTGATGTGTCGTCAGAATAAATAAATAACGACGACACATCGACACACTTACATATATAAAAATTTTAACGAATGGTGTTTTTGGCCTCTGGGGACATCAAAATGAAAAAGTAAATCGGTCCCGGGTCTAGGTCTTACCGTGCCACCTACGGTAATAGCTAAACTTACTTCCCTATAGGGAAATTCGCTAAAAATAATAAAAAAATCTATTAAATCTGCAACTTATCAGCCAACCCATGTCTATATCAAAATTTTTAGACCGGATTGATTTTTGTTTTTAAATTGTAAGAATTATTTTATTTTATTTTGAGGGGTATTGTAAATTTTTAATTTGCTTTAACCTTTAACTTAACAAGTGTTTAGAACTTATATTCTGATGGTTCTATGTTGTCCAGGACTAAGATGTTTGATTTAATTTTTAATTTTAATGAATAAGTTATATTATTGTTAACTAGAAAAGTTATTTTATGTAAGTGTATATATTTTTTAAGAGTGACCAGCAAGTGCCATGGACTCTTCCTCACACACAGACGTGTAGTCTTGTGAGGAATATTTTTTCCTTTTATAAAGATGTCACTTTTTTATTTATTGTACATTATTGGAAAATAAAGAATCTTGAATCTTGAGTCACAAGTAGAAATAATTGGTTTGTGATGATGTCTAGGGTGGGTGCCACATACGGTCTGGGCACAGGGTATATGATGCAGAAGCAGGTGGCTCGGGCTCGGAACATCCTCAAGCGAGTGGCCAAGGCAACATGGACAGTGGAGGAAGCTGAGTATTTGGAGCGATGTTGGCTGTTATTGGCTGACTTGCAGGTGCAGGCTGGCAAACACGACGCAGCCTCCGAACTGCTACGACGCACACTCACACACAACCAGGGGTGCCACCGCGCACGCCAGCTCCTAGCACTCATAGCGGAGAAGGAGCAAAAGTATTGTGAGTCATAGAATAATATTTGAAATCTCCTCATTGCTTACAGTTCTGCCAGTGTAAGCGACGAGGAGATTTCACATAAAGTATGTTTGGTATTTGATAATACAGTAGAACCTCGATTATCTGGGGTAGTGGGGGGGCGTTAGACCATGGATAACTGAAAATCACGGTTAATACAACATAGTATATATAACATATATTAAAAACCCATAAAAACGCCTAATACTGTAAATGGATGTTAATGTGATAATTAATTTACATTTTACATCATCAAAATACAATTCACTAAGTATTGCACAATCGTGATATCTTGGGTCATTAACCTTGGTTCAGTAACAAAACTGTAACGTTTAAAATCACGCTTACTCATACAAAATAAACATTTCTAAACAATGTACTGCAATAAATCAAGTAAAGAATAGAAAAATAGAAAGTCTAGTAAGCTACTGCTACCGTAGTCATCATAGGCTATGTTGTTTCAGAACGCAATAATGTCGATAAAACCATTAGATAACTCATAAACAGCTTAAAATCATAGTACTTAAAATCTTACAGATAATAGCAAAAGTCGTAAAATAAGAAAAGTAACAATGATGTAAAACAACCCCTTATTCTTCCTCTTTGTTCTTCTATTCTTTCTTACCTTTTTCTTTCTTACCTCTTCATCCACACTTTCAACAGGTTACCATGGTGACTAATCACCCAATCATAAACTGTTGTGACATAGCAAGGCACAGCAGACAGATGTTTAGGGGGCAGACAATTAATTGTCAGTGTGGGTGGATAGCTTGACCTTGAAGCTATCGATGGCTTGGTTTTCCATCCATTTATCTTTGTCAACACTAATTCTATCCCGTCGGGGGCGGGCTGTGTATGTACGCCCGGGTGGTTGCAACCACCCTTCCGCCGTGGGCGTCTTTACTAGGGATGGGCGAGTTGTGTTTTTTTGAGTCGAGTTGAGTAATTAGCCCTAATACTCGAGTATTGAGTCGAGTCGAGTAGTTCACAAGTATTTATCTAAGTCATTTGTCAGGTTTTGTATTTATTTGAAATTGCATCAATTGTCTCAGTTAACTCATTAAGCTATAGATTTAAAAAAAATACGTACATCTTGGCCTACAATTACTCTTTGTAAGGTAAAATTTTTCCCTAAGTGAGTAAAAACAAATTTCCTATATAATTCTCTCTAATAAGTGTTTAGGTTATTTATTTTGTATAAAAAATAACAATAATAGATCTAAATGTCTGACTTATTGATACAGACTTTGTTTAGTATAATTAATTTCGTGTTGGCAGGACATTCGTGCGCCGGTTGTCTCCTGAGTTGAGTCTGACATCTTGAAAAATGTAGATTGTGTTGTGCTTGAGCTGAAGAATAGTCAAAGGCTAAAGCTAAACAATGTCACCGGCACTGTCACTGTTTTGAACTATAGATAGTTTCTAAGTTGGCTATGAAAATTGTTAACCGTGATTACAAAACTAATACTGTAGCTAGACATTACACATATTTTATTTGCACATAACATTCTTTACATGTGTTGGTACATACAGAATAGGTGCATTGTCAGAGTTAAATTATCAGAATATACAAAATAAAATAGTAATCAAGAAGGTAATGTAAGTTAACAAAATTGAATTATAAAACTATTTTTAACTAAAGGGGCATTATGAAAATCTGCAATCAAATAAAAGGCTCTGTCAATTAAAAGTTCACCTATTTTATCTTTAAAATTATTTTCACTTAACAATTTATAGTTTGCAGGCAGCACATTGTACAGCCTCAGCCCAGCATATAGCGGACTTTTTTCATAAAGGGTTAAATGGTGCCTTGAAAATCTGAAAAAGTTTTCATTTATAGTATTATATCTATGGTTGATTTGAATTGATTCTGGGAGGTCGTTTTTAGCTGAATGAATGTAGTTTAGTGATTCCAAAATGTACAGTCCTGTTAGGGTGTGCATTTTAGCAAATTTCCCTATAGGGAATAAGGTATTTAAATTTCGAAAAAGGTTTTTACATGAACTACGTGGATGAGAGTTGGTCATAATACGGATAATGCGTTTTTGTAGCCTGAATATTGATTTGACTCCGGTAGCCTACCCCATAAGATTATACCTCAATACTGATTCTACATAAGCATGATAAACCATTTTCAGAGTTTCTTTAGGAACACAGTCCCTTAAGTGCAGAAATACAATTGACATGGATCTAAGTTTACTTTTTTAATTGATTCAGATGTACATCCCATTTAAGTGATTCATCTATGTAAACACCTAGAAATTTATGAGACGTTGCCAATTTAAGGGGTTCAATTTTATTACCATTGTTTCTGACGGAAAATTTTATTGTTTGCGTTTTTTCAAGATTAAGTTTTAATCCATTGTTAAAGAACCAACCCTCCATGTCATGAACCACATTTTCAAGAGAAGATAGCATTTCAGAAGTACTATTATGTTGAATATTGCAACCCAACTCATCTAGTCTGGATTAGTGATGGACCATCATAAGTTTTTACATTTTACATATGCAGTTGTTTACAAAATATAATTCAGTGTTGTGTTGTGTTTGTAAGAAAATAAAAGAGTTTATAACAATTTATTCTTTCATTAACTTTAATTTCACCAACAAAGGTTATGGGCCATTTGGAATAATAAAATAATCATTTTACAGTATTCTGTGCTTAAAAATAAGTAAAATGAGTTTTGGCTATAGAATTGAACCTTTGAAACAAAATAATTATGACACTTTGTAACTGTTAAATTTTATTAGAGGGTCAGTTTAAATTATTTTAAGGCCGCGAAGGCTTGAGCGCGCTCGACAACAATGTCAAACATGTCCACTGCAAGTCAAGTCTCCTAGTTCGTGACTTGGCCGCCGCGACCTCGGGGCGCTGACGTAGACGTGATGGGGAGAAGCCGAGACCGGTGGACAGTGGACATTTCTTGAGACAGTCGATGGCAAGCGCTTGTTCGCCAAACACCCTCCCTCAAGACCGTGCAGTCGACGGCGAGCGCATGTTCGCTACACACCCTCTCCTGAGATATATAGCGGACCTGCGGCGAGAATAAGTCGTTGATGCGATACGCAACGAGCGCGAAAATAAAAGCGACAATAATAAAAATCGAGAGAAGTATCGTCAGACGGAAGTACTGTGGTATATCATTACGCTAATAATAATCTTATATTCCCCGTTTTACTTTGGCGAGCGAAAGTTAATTTTCGTTACGATCACCTTAGTTGTAAGAGATTAGTGTATTGTATTTCTCAGGCCAGCACTGCGAGTGCAGTGCCACAGTAGCCTACACTTTTTAGTTTGTTTATCTAAAAAGGTTTTATTTTATTTTATCCAAAAGTATTTGATTTCGTATTTTGTTATTGCGTGGGACGATATTTTATTTCACTACGAGAATATTATTTTTAGTTTTTATTTGAGAAACGATACCTTTTGTTAGGTCTAGAAGCTGGTCACGTATTTTAGTTCACATAGAAGTACCATATTTAGTGCCGATATATTCCTAGTCAGTGCGTCGTTGTGCTGATATACAACCGTATATACTTGTGCGTCTAGGACGACGAAGGTACCATCTACGAAGATCGAGAAGCGGTTAGCGAGCGACGGAGACTGTTAGCGAGAACCCTGGACTACTCGAGCTGTCCGAGCAAATCGGAGGTAAGTTTAGGATAGGTTGAACCTACCCGACATAAACACCTCACAACTTGGAAAATTCAAGCTGAAGCTATATTAATCCAACAAAACCTAATGGAATATGTATCTGGGGAGAACAAATGTCCTGAGGATGAAGATGGTAAGAATGCCTGGATAGTTAAAGATCTTAAAGCAAAATCAGAACTAATATTGATAATTTCACCTAGTGAATTGAAATTAGTAAAAAACTGCAAAACTTCCAAAGAAGTATGGGATTGCCTGCAGAACAATTACCAAAGTTCTGGTCCTGCAAGGAAAGCCACATTATTAAAGCAGTTAATAGTTCATAAAATGAAAGATGGAGAAGATGCTAGGGATCATGTCAACAAATTTATGGAGATTGTTGACAAACTTCAAGAAATGGACATCATTATCAATTCAGACTTACTTAGCATTATGCTACTTTACAGCTTATCATCATCATTTGAAAATTTCCGGGTAGCAATTGAGTCTAGAGACACTTTACCTTCTCCTAATGATTTAAAAATAAAAGTAATTGAGGAGAGTGAATCTAGGCCAAAAGACACTTGTACGAATAATGAAGATAGATTATATTGCAAAACAAAGCAGTTCAACTCCAAGAAAGGTATTCACAACACTTATAGTCATAAGAAACAAGATGAGAACAACACTACAAAAGTAGGTTTCAAAGTTAAATGTTTTAGATGTGGAAAAATAGGACACAAATCCAACAACTGTAGATCCAAACAAATGGGAAATAGTTTTAAAGCAGAGGCTGAATGTTTCTCTTCAAATTTGAACATTTTAAATTCTACTTCATCTGATTGGTGTATTGATAGTGGATGTACATCGCACATGTGTGGAGAGAAATCACAGTTCAGAGATATCAAAAATTCAAACGGAATTTTGAAACTTGCTTCTAAAGGAAAGACATCTGACTTTTCTGGAACAGAAACGGTTTCGCTGGAATTAAAAAATTCTGAAATCATACATTTGAATAACACTCTGTTTGTACCAGATTTGGCAACAAATCTAATGAGTGTCAGTAAAATAACAGATAAAGGATTTAAAGTGATTTTTGAAAAAGAGAAAGCTGTCGTCCAAAACCAAAGAGAAAATGTAATTGTGGCAGCAGAACGTCAGGGTGGTCTTTATTATGTCAAAAGTACAAAATCTGTAATGGTAAATGAAAAATCAAACTATACAAAAGAACCTGAGATCATAGATTGGCATAAGAAGTTAGGTCATCTAAACGAGGTTGACTTAAAAACAGCTTTAAAAAATGAATCTTTGAATGGATTAACCTTCAACATGAAAGACAAAATTGGAGAATATG